TCTTTCTACATCTGTGGCATGATAATTTTGAAATATAATGAAGACTAGGGATGTTATACCACTGTTAATTGTTCCTTCTGATTTATAGTCACTTCACATGCAGAGTAGACAGTGGTATCCTAGGGTCCCATTTATTAGTGTGAAAGGACCCCATGGAACACAAAACAGAAACACAAATCACATTGGAAAAATGTGGGTTAGAGCTGCACAGCTATTGAGGTTAAATAAAATTGTTTATAAAAATATTATTTAACTGCTGGTTTCAAAAGCACATTTTACATTTCATCTTACACCTATGAACTAGGAGAATATAATGTCTATTACTGAGGAAAAGCAGGTAACCAATTGAGACAATAGTAGGGAAGAAGGTGGAATCTGAATCCTGTCTCCCTTTACTTCATTATAGTTGTTAAATTTACCATCTATTCAGCAACAAAGCAGTCCTGGTTTCATTTCCTTGGTCAAAAGCTTCATGCAGACAAAAATCCACAAAAATACCTAAAGGCTGATTTGTAAAATTAGATTTTAAAAAGTATTTTTATGTGATATAATCCTCTTATCTGTGTAGTAATGATATCACTTAGATGATCATGCATATTCCCCGTTCTGCAGCAAATAAGCAGTTCTTAAGTGTTGTAAAGTTCTTCGGCCTTTTTTCCTTAAAGATAGTATAGTCTGTCTATGCGGACTGAACTTAGAGATTTATGTTTCTGTTTGTTTATGTGTTGGTGCTCATAATCAATTACTGTCTTCAGACTCAATTGTGTAGATTAATTAGATTATGTCTCTCCCAGTTCAGCAAATCTACAACTAGGTTACTGGTTTGGACAGGTTTCCCAATTTAGGCTCTTTCCTGTATTGCAAACAGCCATGAAATTGTTCCTGTCCAGGCTAGAGCACCACTGTCCAAGGAAATTCAGCTCTTACATACTACCTTGTTCCAGCCTGTTGCATTCAAGGGGTCAGTGTGGCTTATCTGGGTATGAACCATCACAGTACCAAAAGCTCAAAGAGGAGTTCCTCTGTCTATATGTTACTGTGATCAAATGTTACTGTGCTTCAGGCTCATTATTTTTCATGTTTGTTCATTATCTGGCTTGCAGTTTTTGTGGCATCTGAAGTTGTTTCAAATTATTACTGTAATTTAGACTTTTTACTCATGTGTTAACTTAGTTTTGCTCCCTTCTGTGTCTCTTTTCTCTGCACAGTGTGCTTCCAAGTGCTGTTCAAACCCACCTGATGCATGTCCTCTGGGCTTAGACTTAGTGATTCTTCAAACAGCAAGGAGAGGGGGTTAAACAGCCCAGTGCTGAACTTCTTTCCTGCATAGGAGGCTTTGACTGAGTGGAATCGTTTCACTTTACAGACTTCAGGAAGGGGAAACAAGTTGCCCTGACTCAGAGATGTCCTCAGGACAAATACTGCTTGGCAGCAGTTTACATAGTTCAGGAAGGGAGATGGACAATGCAGAAGGGCATTCTAAAAGACAATTTAAACATACAGAATTTAGAATACTCTACAATAGTAAATAATAGCAATATTAATGTATCCATAGAAATATAAGCAATATATAAAATTTTGCTGCTTTGGATAATTAGAGAAATTAGGTTTGAATCTGTTCTTCTAATCAATATATTTTGAGTACAGCTAACAGTAAGTTACAGAACACTGTGGCTATCAGAAGCCAAAAACATAGTAACTACATTAATAAGACCTATTGTATTAATATATGATAAGGTTCAAATTATCTTGTTTTGCCCATTGTTAATTCTATGTTTGAATTTGCAAACTTGAGGATTCACAAAATTCTTACAATACTTCCAATTTCTTCAGTAGCTTTTAGTATTTTTGCATTTATAATCATCTTCTCTTGGGATTACGTTATCCCTGGGTAGTGACTGCTTTTGTTTGAAAGAGGAGTTGCAAATGTCAGAAACCATACACTGCGAAAAATAGGAGCAGAAGCTGTTGTGTTATCTGTTAATTGGAAAGATATTTCTTTTCTTCCATTTTAATGTCTTGTTTGTGCTGAGCAAAAAGAGCTCTACAGCCTTGTGGGTTATGTTAGAAGCTAGACATGTGTGTCCTTTCACTGTGCACTGAAGTGTTTTATGTAGCATAGTTAAATAACATTGAAAAAATTACTTTTTTTGGCAATGAAAATGCAGATATATCCTGAATCATGTGAAGTTATAAGCCTACCTTTGTGAATGGCCAAGATAGACTGGTGTTCTGTTGTTATGACTTCCCTTTTTCACACACAAAATTTTTATCAAAGCTGTGAGAAATATAGTGTCCTGTTTCAAACAATATAAAGATGACAGAATTAGCAGTTATGTATACCAAAAGATTCCATGTAGTGACTTCCACATGGAACTGCACAGCAAAGGCCACAGTACTGAATTATGCATGACATTTTTAATGGTGGAACAAAAGGAGTAGCAGAAGGAAATTCAGCAAAGTACGTGCTACCTTCACTGGTTATTAGGCACTAGTGTACATACATGCAAATCCCAAGATACTCTTTATTGAAACTCTGGTGCTGTGCTATACAAATCAAAGCTGTATGAAAGCCATACCTAATGAGGGAAGAATAAATAACAGGAAAACTCTGACAAAGGGAAGTGTAGAATGCATACCGACTTATTGTACTTTAGAGAGTGAGAAATAAAGTTCTTACATTTGGCTGGATGCTGAAGGTATCAGCTACTGTAAATATTTACTTTACAATAATTGAAAGGATTAGTCCTATTTGTTAGTCCACACTGATGATGCCTCTCACTGTCTATTCAATGAAAACTGGGAGAATATAACTAAAATTACTGACAGAAGAGCTGCTGCATTTTAAGAGGCAGCTGCATCTGAAGTCAGTTCATTGAAATTCTGTACCCTGTTAAATTTATTGCTTACACACATTTTATATTGAAGCCAAATACTTGATGTTGGAAAGTAGAGACTGACTTAACAGACCTTGTCTGTAGGTTTTTGAATATGCAGAAGGTTTCACTAAAAAACTTTGTAAGGATTCTGTTTCAGTATTAATTTTCTTCCCCAAATGCCCCAACCACGACACTAAGCACTTCTGAGCCTTTGGCAATAGTAGTACTAACATAGATCAAGATAACTTCTTCTAGGCCAGAATATAAAAAAATTTGAAAATACTATGTTGTAAAAAATTATTTCTGCTTATTTGACCGTTTCTGGTTTTTGAGAAGAGGTTGTTGCTTGCCAACGCTGTCAGGCTTGAAGCCAGCACCACTTTGGTGGTACCAGGATGCTTGATCCATCCATGCAGGATGTTGTATTTTTGCCTAGGAAAGGACCTACCCCAGGACTCCCAGTCCTCTTCACTTCTCATATGCAGACTTGACCCTGCATAGTGGTCCCCACCACTGCTCTCCCCTTACCTGTGCAGTTCAGCCATTTCTCACCAGCTCCCTCCTTACCAGCCTGGAGAATCCAATGTGCCTTGCAACACTGTCTGTAACATCTGCCAACCACTTATGCTGTTGCCTGTCACAAGCAGCAATTTCTTATGTCAGGTTCAACAGTTTTCCATGTCCTGATGCTTCCCTTAACCTCTGACCAGGTCCTGATGAGTGCCCTCAGTGTTGGCCTGCAGGCCAAGAACTGGCATCTTGGCCATTGTAACCACCCATTATAAGATTACTCATCGCACAGGTGTGAAATGGTGTGTGTTACTGGAGGAACTTGTTGGGATAACAATAAACTCATCAAGTTTATTGGTCCTTCTCTGATAAATTGAGAGTGTAGAACTCTGTTCCCAAGTAGACTTCATTGAAATCAAATGCACCAAAATAAGTTCCTCACATTTTTCCCCTTCAACTGCAGAATTTTTTTAAGGCTTACAATGCTATGAATATTTCAGGATAGACAAAACTGCCTGAGACCTGAAACTTAGTGAAAAAGAGAAATGAAGGAAAGCTTCAAGGGGGAGCATTCCAGAAAGAAGCAAAAAGAAACAGTTTACTAACAAGCCAGGGTTGAAAATACTTGAAAAGGTAAAAACATTGCCATAGTCACAGTGCTGCTTTCCAGATATGCAAAGACTGGGGGGAAAAAAAAAGGGGAAAAGTATTTTTAGTATTTTTCAATGCATGAAGACTTAATGTTAAAGGTTATCCTGTTGTACTAAGCTATGTTGTATTGCCAGCAAGTATTGCTATACCACCAGCAGTTTAGTGCAGACTTGATTATTGGTATTTTGATAGCCAAACTCTAGAAGGTGTAACTCAATTTCAGGCTCTCTAGCATCTTCCCATTTATAATACTCAATTTTCAAAGCTATGATATGTTATTACTATTGTCAGTGCTACTGTCAATTTGTCTTGGCTTCCCTGCATGGAGTTTTTTTTTTGGGTTTTTTTTTTTTCTGCAAGTCACTGTGTACACTCAATTGCTTGCTATTTTAACAAGATCTCTGGAGAACTCCTCAATGATGATGCATGTTAAGAAAAAAGGCAGAAAGCAATTTACTACCAAGCAGATACCAGATGAGTGGGCAACAGTCCTGAGCTGAAAAACCTTAAACATGGAAACAGCTTGTTAGCATATGCTTGTGCCACACTTAGAACACATAATGAGAACAAGATCAGAGGCGAAGTTGTTATCTCACTGGAGTCAGTAGCAAGATTTGATATCAGAGAAGTGATCACTTTGTCCCTTGTGTTACTTGTGGGTCACTTAAATACATTCCTAGCATTGCAATTATGGTGTATATTTTCCTAAAAATGCCTCTTGAAATATTTATAAAGTATATTTTAAAAGTGTAACTTTGTCCCAATTTTTCATCTATTTTTTTACCACAAGACATTCAGATTCAGCTGGGAAAGAAGTACTGAGAGTAGAACTACTTCCATATGTACTCTCCAAAGACAAGTGCTCCTCCATGTTTTTTATGTTCTTAAGTATAATCTTGATGTGGTTGTAAATGTAAATGAAGGTGACGTTTTGAGAAATACAATCTTTTCTGTTTCCAGGTGGGCCATGCACAGGTACAGCTCATGCCTTGTTAACCACACCAACCAAAAGATCTTGCGACTCAGGTAGGTGTTTTGTGGGATCAAGAAATTAGGTTTTGCATTATATTTAGCAGTTATAGTTTAATAGTAAAGGGTAATAACCATACCTGGCAAATGCCAAATGAAAATAAATAATTGTTGGTTTGCTGCCAGAAATGTATATATAAAAGGATTAGTATGGCAGATAGTTCATCTGAGAATCATGTTAAACATAATTCTGTAAATACACTCTGCTTTCAGTTAATCTTTGTGAAAACAAGACATACAGGAGTAATCATTTGTTTAAGTCTAATGATTGTGACAGTGTTCTGGAAATCTTGCCCTTGAAATGCAAAGTATTGAGTAGAAAACTGTTCTGAGTACATTGACTGTACCTGATTGAAGATGCAGTATAGACAGCTGATCTTTGCTTTGGGACTAAAGTTTACTTGCTTTGGGTCCTTTGATGCCTTTATTTCTATATGCAAGATGTAGATGGATAATTTCTCACAGAGCTGGTATTAGGAGCAACATGTTAGGTCATTGCCAGGCTGAAGTTGCTGCTTCTGAATCAGATATGTCCTGGGAAACCACACATGCACTCATTCAGTCAGGCAGCAGTACCTGCACTGGCTCAGGTCTTCTGCAGGCTTTGGTTTTGTGTGGATTAAGGAGAACTCACACGATTCTTTCCACCAGGACCACTGTTGGAAGCCATAATCTCCTGGAGAGTGGTGGGTGTGTAGGTAGTGGCAATGTTCTTGCAGCCTGTGTTTCCAGAATAATTTTTGCCTATATTTGAATTTATGTGCAGAAAGGAAGGGTATTCCAGTTTGAGTAAAGGTCTCTTGCTCTTTAAGGAGTTCAAGGGAAATTTCCTCTGAAGTAATTCTTTCAAAAAGTCTTTCAAGTTACTGTTTGAGCTGAACTGTAGTTATTCCATAGGTGAGTGTTGTTAGCTTGCAGCAGATGTGTGGTGATACAAGTTGGCTTGTTCTGCAGTGAAGGAAGATTACAGAGAAGCTGTATTACCTTGCTCTTGGTGCAGGTGCAGATTTCTCAAGTAGCACATGATAATCTGTGACAATGAGTGTTTTTTGCCAAAGAACTGAGTTTGGAACTGGGAGATTGTTCCTCAAAACAGGGAGACTGGATTTTCTTTTCTGTGGAGCCATGGGCATGTATCTAAACAAGATGGAATGTTTGCCAATATATACCCTGAAAACTAATCTGCTTTGCTCATGGTATTTCTAAATTGTATTTTCCTTATATATTAGCTGTTGTAATGTTTAGCTGGTTTTCATGGCAGAGTAATTTAAAAGCTTGCTGTGGTGCTACAGATACAGTAAACAGAGTACTGCTGGAAATTTTTTGTGTGTGTGCTTAGCAAAAAGAAATGTAAGTTCATTATTTGGAGTATGAAGTAGCACCAGTAAAATCTACTTGGAGTAAAGCAGATGAAACCACAAGACATATTAAACATGTCTTGGCTACCTTTGCACGGTAGTTATTTTATTTTCAGTTTGTACTCTTGTTTGGTCTTGTGCATGCTTGTATGTTTTTCATTTAGTGTGTTTTGCAAGAAAAGGAGGAGATTGCCTTAATTTGATACCACAACTTTAATCTTCGGACAGCTAAATCTACTAATTTTGAAATACCTCAATTTCCCCTGAGGTTCTTACATTACTTGCTCAGAAATCTACATATTATCTTTATAGTCTCTTACATGAATGAGCCTGGTACCAGGAGTTAGTTTTCTTCTCCAGATCTTGAATTTTCAGCAAACTTTAATTTTTAAAATAAATTCCCATGTTGTCATGGGAATTGACAAAAAAACATTGGCTACAAAATATTACCCAGAAGTGCTGTGACATCTTCAGGCATGAGCAGCATACTATGTAGTTGAACATTTGTCAGGGTTAACCGCAAGGCCAAAACATAGCTCCATTATCTACTGTGAAGAAAATTAACTCTATCCCTGCCAAAACCAGCACATTCTTTCACACTATAATCACTTCAGCTTCCCAGGAAGCTACTTAAATGATGCAAGCAGTATTTGTCAACACTACACATTGTTAAAAGCCTATTTTCTGTAAGTATCCTATGTTTCTTATGCTTGGAAGAGCTTTGAGGAAAAAATGTTGTGTTGGATTTTATCTGTGTAATTCTGTTCAGCCTTCAAACATAGTTTTTCCCCAAAGTTCCCTAGATCAGCATTTGAGACAGAAAATTAGAAATTTGACCTACTTATTAATATGTAAGTTTCCATCAGAACGTTGAGGAAGGAGACAAACCTTTCATATTTTATCAGCATGAGTGTAACAATTGAAGAAAGATCAAAACAATAAATCTGCCAAGGTAAAGGAAAAGTTCTCGTAGACAAAAAAAAGGTTTTACCTAAGGTACTTGTCTACCTGCATGCTGTAAGAGCTGTTCTGATAAAAAAATAGTATTATGGCACCAAATAGTGGGGTTTTCCTCCTGTTCACCACAATCATCACTGTGGCAGAAGTATTTCTATTCCAGTGTACCCACAGGACAGGGATTATAATTTTAAAAAATGAATAAAGCCTTGCAATCATTAGTTTGGATGATGCCTCAAAGGTTTCTGAGTGCTGGCAGTCTGAGGATTTTGTAGGAAGAAGGATGGGACTGTATGGTCCAGTGTATAGCTTCTTATGCATTTTGATTTGTTTCTTAATGGTTGGGTAATATGATGATTGATGGCAGGTACTGGGAGGCTTCCTCTAATACAGGGCATCCACATCCCATTTGTATCAGGTGCCCATGTTGGGAAAGTGCAATAGCAAGTAACATCTTGTTTTTCTGCTGTACAACTTTAATGATGATTTACTACACAATCTGTAAACAGCCAGATTTTCTAACATTTTTATACAGCTTAAAGAAACATGGAAAAAAATTGATGGAACTGTGTGAGTCTGCTCACTTAATTTTTAATTGTGTGTTAGAGAAGATGGTAGAAACAGGCTGATAAAATGTGGTAACGATACAATCAATTCATACATTATATCCATAAAGTTGGTGAGGTTTTAAGTACTTTATTTCTCAGTAGCAGTTCATCAGAGATGTGCATCTGTAATATTTTGTATAGTTATATGTGTAGATAGCTCACATTTTATGAGAATATCTGTTGTAGATTGGTGTGGTGGTGTTTATATTGTACAAGATGAGAATCTGTCTCTTTTCTCTGTGTGTTTTCTAATTTAAAAATTTAGTCTAGAAGATTGAAATAATTATTTCACTGCTTGAGTAAAGTGGTTAAACAGGGCTGTGGTCCTTTATGAAGTTTCAAATTTATTGATGTTCTTGTACTAAGATATGTGCTTACTTGTAACAGTGCCTGGAATCCAAATGCATTGAGGTTGAACCTCCACAATTGAGAGGACAGCCTTTGAGCAGTTATAGGAAGGTCAAGTTGTGGAAATAAAAGTACACAGTTTTTGAGCCTGAGCTAAAACCATGAAGTCATATGATAATTTTTTTAATCAATCCTTATGTGTTGAGTAAGGACAAAAGGACCTCATACACCACTAATTAGATTTCCTTTTTTAATTGCTCTAAAATGTTAAGCTCCTGAGCAAAAAATACTCAGAAGATTACTGGAGGGGTCTTTATAGCACTAAACCAACTTTGAGGTCTGTTTTTCAAGGGACTATTAAGGTGTTCTTTAGTGTTTGACTTCTGGAGGGCATTGTGTTGAAATCCAGCCTTCTTGGAGCTCTCTCACCAACAGGAAAGTGATGATAGAACAGCCTTTGAGCAGTATAGTAAATCACCTAGCCCTAGCAATACTAGTGCCCATTACATATGCTCTTTCCCCTCCCTCTGCTCAGTTTCCAGCTGCACTAATAGAGCAGCACATCAAGCAAAGCTGTAAATAAAAGTTACAACCTAATAGGTGGGTGCTGAAGTGGAACAGACAGGAGCTGAGGCATGGAGGCCTTATTGCTGCTGATCAGCAATTACAAACAGGATGAAGTGCCTGGGACAGGCACTGATGTGCCAGGATAGAGGATAGAGGCTGGGAGATGACACTGTGCCATGATCAGATGATGTATGGTAATGGCTTTTTACTGCCTCAGCTTATTGCCTAGTTCTATGACGTGCTGGATTATCTGTTCCATGCTCCCATATCTATCTGGATGGACAGATTGGTTTCCTCTCCTCCTGGTTATCTAAGACCCTTCCCAGTGTTATGATTATTGTAGATTAAAATCCTCCTAGTGGTTAAGGATCATAATAAGTCATAGCAGTAAATGCAATTAAGGACTTGCTCTAATTTTATGATTTATTTCCACTATCACCTTTCTCAGCTTTACAAAGCCACACTTGTTCATTAAAAAGAGTGTCTATGGCTGACCTGAACTTTCTTTTACACTGAAGGCATCCCATGATTTTAGACTAATTGAGTTAGTTGGAGAATCCAAAGTGATTGTTTTGGCATCAATACATCAAAAAGTTTCTTAAAAGTCAGCTGTAGCTATGATGATCCTTGCCTCTGAGTTTAGAAATTTTAGCTGTTTCTCAGATGGTTTATAAAAGCTTGTTAGCACACAATAATTGGTAATATTTTTTTTTTTTGTAAAAAAGTCTTTCTTGATTTTTATCTATCACAGTTTAGCACATTTCTGTGCTGGACATCTAAATCATCGATTTACTAAACTGCAGTACTACAGTGAAAAGAAATGCTTTGAAATTTAGTCCCTATTTGCTTTGAACTAAAGACATATTTTTCAAGCATCTTCATAGTTCCTACATTAATCACTCATGCTGTTTACTTTTGAGGAGAATTTTCGTCCAACTAGTGGAAAAAACACAGCATTCAGAAATGAAGAGGTGTGCAGCAGCTTGACAGCATATGAAGACAGTGACTTCTGTCCCTGTCTATTCAGTACAGGCAGGATAAAATAAATAGATTATTTTTCTATCATATGGTATTAGGACAGGAATACTTTTGCTGCTGTGTTAAAAGTACACTAAACTAAGATGAATGGAAAATTTTCACAGTATTACTTTGAAATTAA